AAATGAATGAATAGAAAAAATGATTTAAAAAGACACAAAAAAGCCTAAGTCTGCATTTCAGGAGTCAGAAACCACAGACATAAAATGATATTTTGATAAATATAATTGGAATAAACATAGGGAAAGGAATGACATAAACCGCGCACATTCTTTTTGGAAGTGTGCATGCAGGGGTAATGCAGAGAACGCCACTGTACCGGGAGCTTGTTGTCCTTCTGCAGTTGGACCTGAACAAAAAGCAACGACTAAAATTCCCTGTTTTCTGGCCCTATACACTTGCTTTGAGGGAAAGTTTTCTCGTGATAACAAGCTAGCTTCTTGCTTGTAAACCTTTGTTGTCTTGGTTGGATTGATGACAATGCTATTTGCAGGGGCCAATGTACATTAAACTGTTTCTCTGTTTTGCTTTTAAAGCACTTACAGTGGAAAACGATTCTCAAAGGATTGTTGACACTAGAAGAGGTTTGAAAGCAGTTTCAGCAAGCCCAATATATTTATTTGTAACTTGTATCCAAAATAAAACACATGTGTTTTCAATCCATCTTCAATTATTCATCTGTAGACAGTTTTATCGGTTGATTGTGTAAAGGTACAGTTAGATTAAAATGATCTTTTGATGGAAATTTAAATTCTTTTGATGAAAGAAATGGACTGGGTTTGACATACTTTTTACTTTTGGGTAACAGTTGGCAAAAGAACCTTAAACCGTCACATGAGACGTGTTCCTGTTTGCACAACAGATACACAGCTCACACACGTGCTGTTTACACATCAGTTCCACAAAACCAGGAGGGTCTGTTCCTTGTTCAGCATCGACCTCGATCCTCTCATCCACAGAAGTTTCCTGATAACACGCGGAAGTAGATGTTGAGCAACTTGCATTTCACCTAAGTAATGAATAAGCCTTATACTGCTATATACTGTTATATATGGTAATAACCCCATAAGGTTATTAAATGAGTTGTTGCAGTAAACAAAAAAACCAATGTCAAATTGCTATAGGAATTACTAAACTTTTGCCCTTGATTTCTGAAGTTGTCTTGTTGGGACGGGAACACGCAGTTGTAGGAGACACCCTACATTTTGAATAGCACTGTTCTGGGAGGGGTTTTCCCATTGTAAAATTTGTATCCCAGCACCTAGTGCAAACTTCAGGTTTGGTTTTGTTCAAGGGAAATAGAAACAAGGAAATAGAAATAGGAGGACATCACCTCCCTTATTCTAGATACTTTGCTACTAATGCAGGCTAAGTTCAGTATGTGTGTGTATGTGTGTTCACATCACTATTAACAGAAATTTGAATGGACCTAACGAAATTCCCTGGGTGTTTTTAGAGTTGCCACTGTTTTGTTACATTTTCCTCCCACTTCTTCCCACCAGCTATAGTTTCCTTCTCTGGAGGTGATCAGAATTGGCTGTTGCCTGTGCATATTTGTGGAGAAAGTCTCTCTTTATACAGGTACAAATGGTACTAGACACATGGTTAGGCCCCTGGCTTTTTTTTACTATCTATATCTTGGAAAGCCTTTCATATCAGTGTATAAAAAGCTTCCTCAGTTCTTCTTAAGACTACATAATGTTGTGTGGGATGGATGTCTCCTAACTGTTAAACCAGTTATACCAGTATCAACAAATATTTATGTAGTACCAAATCCTCTGCTATATCATAATTGAATAACTGCATGAAACTTATTTGCCATATTCAGTAATCTACAGGTATATTTTTAGGACTGGAATTGCACGGCCACAGGAAATGTACATATTAAATTTTGTTACATATTTTGGTGTAAATGTGTTCCTATTCTACCTATTCACACTTCTGCCAGCAATGAATGAGAGTGCCTGTTTGGGGGAATTTCTGAGCTTATTTATTCACCTTAACTGCAGTAGGCAGAAGTAGCCAGCTGGTTTTTAATTCCACAGAATTTGTCTAGGGTTAGACGAACTGGGCTGGAGTCCGAGATTTTCCACCCTGGCGATTAGTCATTGTATTTTTGAGAGGCAATTTGATCTCATGCATACCCAAACCCATATAATAGTGAGCGGCACTGTAATAGGAATGAACGGTGCTTTAAAAACACAAACCTTTGGAAGGACTCATGGACATGGACCACACTGTGGTGATTGCAGAGGGGCGGGGGGAGGGGTGGTGGCGGAAGGGGGTATAAGGGGCTAAATGGTAATAGAAAAAATTCAATAAAAAATAAAATAAAAAAGCACAAAACTTTGAGTGGTTTCATTACTTAATGCATTTAATTGGGAATTAATACACACATGCTTTTAATTAAGAAACTAAATTGAATGCCTAAGTCATATTATTTACAGCTGTCTTTGTTAAAAGCAATGGCAAAAGGATCATTATTCATGTGTTGTATTAGTAGGGCCAGACCTCAAGATTCATTAATTTAAAAAAAATTTAGTACAAGGATCCCAGTCCCTGTCTCTGTAGGGCCTGAGGTCATTTGCAAATGTGATTTCCTCTGTGGAGGTCAGCCCCGGTATCACTCAGAGGGAGTGACTGGCTCCTTTCATGCGTGTCACTGTGGCCTGGCAGCAGCGCCAGGCCCTGGCCAACGATGCCCGGGTCACACCACTTCGGCGTATCCTTGAGGTAGCCATGCAACCAGCCTCCAGGAGGGCCGCATCCTCCCGAGAGCTCTACAGCTAATTGCATCTGCAGCCTGAGGCCACCTGTGTCCAGCAGGTGACCCCCCGGTGCCCCTGCATCCTGAAGTGCTTAGTCAGAGCGCCAGGAGAGCGGCTGTCCCCAAGGCCTGGTCCCTGGTCCCCCAGGTCTGCATTTCCTACGAGGAACAGCGAATAGTTCACTGGGCTGAAACATGTCCAGAAAAGAAATCTGACCTGCAGCTGCGTGCTGTTGTAGCCTGTGATCACAGATGAATTTCCTGGTTTTGACTGGGCATGCGTCAGTTCTGCGGATTTGTTAGAGGATGTTTTGGCTTTTGCCTCTAAGGCAGTGAGACAACAGCCTGGTGTTGGGATGGAAAAAATGCCTCATAGCTGAAATATGGTAACTGTGTTTATTGGTCACCTGGTGTAAGCTGCCAGTTGGTTAGATGACCCCCAGCTGATAGTTAAGTCTATAGTACTCAAGTGTCTGATATATTTTTTGTGTATTCTTTAGGACCTTTTGTAAATACTTGTTAAAAATATCACTTCACTGGCCATGGAAACTCTCCTATTTCGCATCAAGGGTTTTCTTTCAATGCAAAAATTAATATGCGATATTCTATAAGGTTTGAAAACCGAGGGGATTAGAATTAATTTTTTCCCCCTGCATCATTGAATTTAGGACCTCAATTTTTCAAGCACATGTTAGGATTATAGTTTCCAAGTGAAATGTAGGCCTCATTTGTTACCACTAATGCTGATACTGGTTACTGTAATGGAGCAGCTATTGTATTACTTCCTGAAAAGAAACCTGTAAAGTGTTAAAATGTTGTATTTGTGAAAGAGGACCCTTGACTCTTTACTTTCAGGGCCCAAATTTAATCAGCAGCACTAGTGGGGCTTCTTTGCAGAAGGACTGGTTTGGAAAGGGGATGGGGACCTGAAGTTGTTGCCGGCACCGTGAAAAGCAAAGCATTTCACAAAATAGGTTCCATAATTAGTTTAGTTATTACGTCTCTGAAAAGGGCGGCCTTCTCTAACTCCTGTTCCCGTGATGGCTTTTATTTCAAATTGATGCCTCAGACTTCCTTGATTAAAAAAAAAATCAGAAGGGGAAAAAAAAAGCCAGACATTCTGTTTTTCTTTTCTTAAATAAAAGAGCCAGACATTCTCTTAAAAAAAAAAAAAAAGTAGGAAGTAACATTTCAAGTAATATTTTTCCTGTCTCTATACTGTTTGTGGAGATAAATTTTTTTCAAAGTTTAGTTTTAATGCAAAAGAGATGATTGCGTTTTATCTAGCAGCCTGGAATGTTGCTGGCTAGTTTAGATGTAGAATCTTTTATTCAAAGGTATTGTTTCTTTTTGGCTGTTTTTGACACTGACATACTATTTTTAATAAAAAACAAAATATTTTTGTCAGTTAATTAGACTACAATACTGTAGCGTTGCTGGTTAACCAACGGCTTAATCTTATTTGCCGTCAACTCATGTATTTTGGAACATGATGCCAATAATTGTTTTTCCCCAATGAATTTTAAATATGCTTCTTTTGTGTCTTTTTGGACCATTCTAGATTATGGTAAATAGAAGCAAGTACAAGGCAACCTTCCCTATGCCCTTCATTATTTTTATAAACCTAATAATACCTATTATATTATTTAAAATTATTATTCTCCGCATGGTAGTTTGTCTCCCTCTACTTTTTTTTTTTTAACTCACCATGGCATTTTATTATTATTTTTCTCCCTCTACTTTTAATTCTCCCACCCACCAAATGGCAGCTATTTCTGCTTCTTTCTTTAAGACCTATCAGTTTTAGTTTGTCTTTATGAGAAAAGGGGCTACACAATCAATAAATGTTGAATGAGAGGCCTTACTCTTCTTGACACCATGACGTTTCTGTGAGAATGCTAGTCTAGCCTTTAGAATAGTATTAAAGCGAAACCCCTATTTAAATAATTACTAGTGCGAAGTTAGGACTCTGAGGGTTTACTGTTTATTCAAAATCAATTTTCCTGTATACCCAGCTTGAGAACACATGGCACTAGATGTGGATTGAATCTACTCAGTGTGTTAGTCAACAATTTGTTTTTTATTCAATATTAACTCTTTCTAAAAGTCCACATGTAAAAGGCTCCTGTGTAGATTTTCTTTATTTCCTGGCCCTGATGTGATGTCTCTTCTCTTTTTCAGACACCTAAATTTCCCTGATGTCGCCTTTATAGTTTAATGCCTTTATGAAGAGATGTAGGACATTTAGATTGGAAAATGGAATGAGGACTTAACCCTAATTCCTTGAAAAAGCAAGCGTAGGTATCCCTCATTGGCTGCTAACGGTTTTGTCTTCACTTTATGGGATTGTTTTAGGACTTGCTCAGGGCCGTGGAGGCAAAAGACGCCCTGGAAAAGGAAGTCACAATCTTCCAAGAGAGGCTGCTTGCGGGCCAGCGGGCCTGGGATGCCTCAAAGCGGGAGCTGAGCCTCCTGAAGACAGGCTGCCGCGAGCTGGAGGAAAGTCTGAAGGCCAGTCTGGCTGCGGCCGCAGCCTCGCAAAGCCAGCACTCCTTGTTTAGGGAGAGAGTCGCAGCCCTCCTCTGGGGCTGCGGGGGTGCAGCGGGGTCCACCGAGGAGGCCATTTTGGAGAAGATTCAAGAAATGGGCAGCAAGGAAGAAAGCCAGAAACGGGTGAGTGGGTCATGGCCGCTTATGCACTTCTTAAGGACGGCAAACTCATTCCTTTTAGCATACTTCATAAATGAGCTATCTGAGTTGTTAAAAGTACCATTTAAATGTGGTTTTATCCCTTTCAATGATACGCCATACTTCCAAAGCCCGGAGAGTCACCTCTGACTGCCGACTACGTTGTGGGCTCTGTAGCCAGACATCCTAGGCTGATCCTGTGCCTGTTGCTCCCTCGCTCCCTCCCTCCCTCATTCACTCCAGCTGTGACCTTGGCCAGGCTCCTGAGATTATGGCCCCTGAGATTTTGTTTACTCGTCTCTGGGAGAGGGACAGCCACAGCCCACAGTCCACACCCCTTATCTGAAGTCCCCGGGGTCCAGTGTGTCTTTGAATTGAGAATTTAGAAAGGTAGTAGAGAAAGCAGTCTTGCATGTTCTTCCTCAGTGGGGCCACGGACGGGCCCCCTAATCTACTCCATTCATCGTTCTGCAGCAAAACCTATGAGTGACCCCACCATGTACGATACAGCAAGATTAGGAAAAGCCTCGTGTCACCCTGGTTCAAGGCTTGCTGCCAAAACTGGTCAGGTTGAGCTTTATCAGTAAATGAGTCACCACCCCTACTCCCCTAAAAAAAAACCTGTCAGTTTTCAGCTCCTTCTGGATTTTGGAATAGCAGATAGTGGTTCCTAGACCTTTAACAGTATCTCTCTCATAACGTTATTGTTTATTGTAAGCATTTAACAAAAAAATATTATTAAGTCCTTAACACACTGTCTGACAAGTAGCAACAATAAATATTACCTTGCTGCCCTTGCTTCTCCTCTCTGTCTCCCTCCCTCCTTCTCTCCTCCTTTTGATAATGTGTTATTTGATAATGTGCCTGCCTAGAAGAGCCTTTCAGGGGACCTATTTAACAGGTGGAGAGAAATGATTTAATTCACACATATGACAGAAGCTTGTTTAATTTTGTTATCTTGTTTATACTATTAATAAATCCCATGTTCTATAAAGCTTTGCTTAGTCAAGTGAGCTTCAGCCCAACTTTAAATTATTATCAAATGCAGGTTATTGACGTTCTAATCAGTGAGGTTTAACATGAAGAGTATCGCAACTATATGTGTAATTCCATTAGGAACCATTTCTACTGTGGAGTTCATGCTTGCTCAAAAGGAGAAAAGGAGTATATCCATTTTTTAATGCTCCGAAAAATCTTAGAGTGATCATTAACTCCAAGTTCAGGGTTGCCTTTGTAAATTTCCTTTTGCAATATAACATTTTGAATTCCCTTTAAAAAATTCTCCAAAATTCACACGTGCTCTGGGAGTAACCCTAGCGACTTCTTTGTTTAACGTGGGATTTCCTTTGTGGAGGTAAAGTGTTCATCTTTGTAAGGTGTGCAGGTCTCTGAGAGCAACTCAGTTCCTCTTGTGGTTCAGTACACAATTTGGTACCAGATTGGGGAAGGAAATTATTTACTGAACTGAGGAAAACTTCATTACGTTATTTGCCTTGACTAGTAATAGATGTACTTCAACAGGTAATGGTTCTTTGTCATTTCACTCTATTCCTTCCCTCTTCTATTTTTCCAAATGTTTTCCTGAAACTATTTTAGTTCCAGCATGTGAAACATGGCATAAAATTGTCAGCAGGATGTATATGTTTATTTTCTAAAGCAAAACGGTGTAAATTGGTGACGCTGGATGGCCTTCCCCCACTTCCCATAAAAATCAGAATGATTCAGTCTTTTTAGTGCCTTTGTCTGCATTTCCTACCCTGTGATTTTTTCTAATAGCCGCTTGCACTATTTAAAAGCCTGAAATCAAGCATAGAGCTAGCATCTTGTGTGACTCATCTTCAAGTAAAATCAGGAGAAAATGGATTTCATATATTGTCTGAGTGATGTCACTGAAGAATGGGGGCTTTACAAATTGATGAATGTGTTTGTTGAGGAGGCTGCATAGCCCTGCCAGCTTCCTTGGTTAAACACACAGTCACAGATGGACTGATACCCATGTGTGGCCTAAAGGTGGGTTCAGGCTGGGCCTGGCCAAGTTCCCCACTTCATGTCGACTCCTACTCACTGAACATTGCTTTTCTTGTTTATCCCTTTGCTATTCATTTCTACTCTTCTGTATTTCTAATTCTCAGTAGAATTCAGGACCCATACTTTTTCAGCAAGCCATTTCTACTTGTTCCTTACTTTTGTGCTCATAGCAAAATCTAACTTTTTTTTTTTTTTTAAAGTTTTACCACACATTAATGCAGGGTTTCTCAGCCTCGGAACTGTTGACAGTTTGGGCTGGGGAATCATTTGTTTGGGGGGCCGTTCTGTGCATTGTAGGGTGGTTAGCAGCATTCCTGGACTGCTACCCCTTGGTTACCAGTTGAATTTCTTTTCTTCTCTAAGGTTGTGCCCAGATATTGCCATGTGTTCCCGGGGCGGGGGGTGAGGGGGCGGGGTGAAATCTGCCACCCCCACCCCCGCTGAAAGCCACTCTTTTAAAGAAATATTCTACTGTCAATTTCCAAGAATTCCAAATGAGTACTTGGGTGTTATTTAGCTTTGAAATTTGAGGACACTTGTAACAGGTACTTTTGAAATGATTTCTTGCACAATGAGCAGAAAGTTGCAACATTTTCAGGTTTTAGTTTAGAATTTAGAGGCCAAAATTTTTGTCTCATTTTGAGCTGTTGCCTCACTGGCTAATCATCTGGATGAGAATTGATTATGCACAGGGGACACATGACTGTGATTGATTTCCATGTCATGTCCTAAGTTAAAGACAAACTAATACAAGCTCACGAATATTTACCTAGACTTCAGCTCTTCGGTTGTGCTTTATGTACACACAAGGCTTTATTTTTCTCCACTGGAGTGTTTCTTAGTCTGGCAGCCCTCTGGGGGCTGTGGGGACCAGCCTGATGCCTGAAGGACCTGAGGTGGCTCCCACAAGCCCCCCAGACCCCCTTTGACGCTTATCATTCTGCTCTGTTCTTAACCCTTGAATCTACTAGGCCAAACATGTACCAAGAAGCATCAACAGACTTCCAGTGACCTTTCATTGTCCACTGTTATGGTACACGGTCACCTCTGGTCACAAGGGCGTTGGGAAGAGTGAACAGATAGGGATTTTATCTTTCCCAGCCTCTAGAATGTATTAATGTCCTAGGATGGCTATGACAAAGTCCCATGAACTAGGGGGCTTAAATGACGGCCATTTATTGTCTCACAGTCTAGGAGACCAGGAGTCCAAAATCAAGGTGTCGGGCAGGACTGGGTTCTTAGAAGGGCTGCGAGGGTGAATCCACCCTGTGCCTCTCACCTCGCTTCTGGTGGCCTCCGGCTGCCCCTTGGCTATGGATGGCTTGTCCCTGCATCTTCACATCATTTCCCTTCTATTCATATGCATCTCTGTGTCCCGGCTTCCCCTTTCTATAAGGATGTGAGTCATAGTGGACGAGGGCCCACCCTCACGGCCTCATTTTAACTTGATTATCTCGGTAAAGGCTACCGTTCTAAATAAGGTCACATTGTGCGGTGCTGGGAGACTCAGCACACCTCTATTGGGGGTGCCTCCTTCAACTCCTAACAAAAACTGACATGCACAGAGGGCGCGGGGGAGGGTTAGCCAGTCAGGAGTGTCGGCCGCACGTAGTGACCGGAGGGAAGGACTATTTGGTGTTATACCTGGTTCCTTAGAACTTACTTTATGTATTAAGTGAAAACTATAACTTGAATAATCAGAAAAGACTTGTTATGCCCAAAAGGCAGTGGCCCTTAAGTGACCCTGGTGGCTCTTTCTTCAGTTTAGAGCTCTCGTGTTTCCATTTGGGTCAGTCTGAGTGCAAAAGTGCCTCTTTGGTGAAATCAGCAGATACTTGTCCTTGTAGAGTAAATTAATTCTTTTAGGGAACTATGATTTCACTTCCAAAAATCTAGCAGCTTGTATTTGAAGTGTAGTTTATTTTGGTGCTTTTTATTAAAAAAAATTGCAGTATATCTACTTTATTACCTCCCCCTCTCCACCCACGGTTCCCGGCCATTTTTTAGTGTTGAAACTCCTGGTGCATTTTGTCCCACAGAGTGTCAGGGGTATGTTAGCAGGTGATACTAAGAAAAAGAAAAAAAAAAAGAAAAGAAAATGCTTCTTGATTCTTTAGACTTCTTGGTGGGAAAGATACACCACTACTTTACAGGTTTGGTGGGAGACGTCTATGCATTCAGACCCTGGCATTTGGTGTTCCCCAGAATTCAGTCAGATTGGAACATTCATTTATCTATTCGTTCATGCATTTATGTAAATTTAGCTCAGAAAAAAACTTGGTGGTGTCTTGTGCACTGAAACCTAATGAGCTCATGAAGCCGAGTTCTGTGAGGCATAGAGGACTGATTTCTAGGAGAGACTTCGCTTTGCTCCGGTCTGCGGTGTGCTGACTGTGGCTAAGCGGTCACTCAGCACTCCATCTCTCCAGCTGAGGCTTTCTGTGTCTCTTTTCTCTTTGGTGGGTCAGCTGTAGGAGAGGAGAAGTATTGAAGGATCTTTAAGTAGAAAGACTTTTTTGTACATGAAATTAAGTATGAAGCCACATCTGCTGCACAGAGATGTGTTATACCTTGTATCATATATTAGACAGTCCCCCAGGAGGTAGCATCTCGGGGACGATGTTTGATGGCCATTGTTTTATAGGTTACTTCGTATGTTGTACCAAGATAAGCAAACCGTTCTCTTGCATTAAGATCAGATCTATCATTAGTGAGTAATAAGGACAGGAAATATGACCTGATGGGTCTCAGAGCCTCATGTTCTGTAATGAAATTTGCAATTTCCTTGGGAACTATAATTCCTTGGATGTACCACTGAACAGCTTGCCATCAAATATCTGATTTTTGAAACATAGCCCTGGGATCTTGAGAGCCATAGATGCCAGGATTAGAGAATTTAGAGGCCAAGAAGTCTAGCGTTCCTGATAATAGCACTTCAGTCTACCCTATAACATTCTTAACTAATGGTTGGCCAACTTCTGGCTATCTCCAGCAACTGGAAACTACTACCCAACATGGGAAGATGCTTAAAATGTGAGGTAAAAGCAAAAAAGATAAAATGACCCATATAATATCATCTCACTTATACTAAAACACTACATAAGATAAATTATTTGAAAATATTAATAGTTGTTACCTCTAGGCAGTGGGATCACAGGGATTTTTTTTCTTGATTTATATATATTTTTGTCCTTAATTAATCTTATACAATGGCTATATATTACTTTGTAATTGTGGGGACCAGGAAAAAATTATGTCTTACATTGAGGTTGAATTCTTTTTCTGATTTATACCTATTGGTCCTCAACTTAAGCTTTGCAGATAACTCAGAACAAATCCTGTTATCCTTTCAAAATATTTGAAGCCAGCTTTAATGTCTTCTTGCCTTGAAAAATGGTTGTTTAAAGATAGGCAAGCAAAAGTTGTTTTGTTTTAAATGGCAGCTCTAACTGTGAAGCTGTCAAGATATTTGTTTCTGTGAGAATGGTACTGAGTATTATGTAAATATCTACTACTCTTAATCCTCTCCTTTTCTACAACAAACTCTCACAACAAAACTAAATTTACCACCTCAAACTTGGTGTTTTTTAATTGAATCTAACATTTTATGGAAACTGGATTTGCTAGGATTGATTTGAGTTTCTCAAAGTGCACCTGAGGTCTTTGGTAAACTTAGGGTCTTGGTTTAAGGGAGGGTCAGGACAAAATGAGCAACTCCACGGAAGGGTGGAAGCATTGGGCGGTAGGGGTCCTGAGAGTCTAGGGACTTTCGGTGCAGAAGCAGTGATTTTATGTTGTAGGAGAGGAGGTAATCATCATCTGTCTGCCTGCTTGTATATTGCCATTGGCCCTATGTAGAATCTCCATATGAAGTTTGACCTTTCAAATGCTAAAATGATGACATCAACCCATAACTGTGCATCCCAGAGGTAGTGCCACTGAAGGTTCATAAGGGAGTAACCAACTTGATGGACAATTGAAAGAGAGCTTGAGACAATAGTATCTTTATAGACTTGAATGCACCAGTAACATCTCAAGTCTTCTTATCAAGATTAACTCACTGTGTTGTCTTTGATCCACTGTATATATTGGAAGAAGAATGATACTTTTATAGGTTTTAAAGGTACTTTCTGTCTGAACTCTTTTTCGAACTCAGCTTTGAGACCCTGGAATTGATGGCAGTTTTAGGCGTAAATAAATGTTATCCATAAACATTTATCAAGCAACCTGTTGGAGGAATTATAAAAAATTAAAAATGCCAATCAAAAGTATCCTATTTGGTAATGAATGCAGATTCATTTTGAGCAGAGGCAAATACATCCATCAGTTACCTGTTTTTTATATCATGTTTACAAGGAATCTGGAAGCTGTGTTATAAATAACCTGTTGCTAGCGCTGAGTGCTAGATTTTAACACTTTGCTGCATCTTAAAACAACGTTTATTCTTGTTCTGTTTTTTTGTTGCCAGATGGTTTCCCAGTTGGAAGCCCAAGTATCTGAGCTTGTTGAACAGTTGGAAAGTGAGTCTGGGTTTCACCAGCAAGCTCTGCAGAGAGCCCAGAAAGCAGAAAACAAGGTGGAGACCCTTCAGGGCCAGCTGACACACCTGGAGGGGGAGCTGGTGTCTGGAGACGTTTTACGGGACAACTTGAATTTTGAGAAACAAAAAGTAATAACCCGAGGGCGTGTCTATGGGTGGACACATCTGCTGTACTGAAATTTTACCTGAAAATATTCTGAGTTTTGCAGCGCTTCCATAGATTGGTTCAGTTCTGAGTCATGAGTAAATTTCATGGAACAATGGGTATTGTTTTGAGGTCTCTTCCTATTGTTTGGAGCTTCCTTGATTCAAATGAAATCTACTAATTCAGTTAAATCTAATTAAACTTAACAGGTATTTATTGAATGCCTATTATACACGAGACCCTGAAGGTTTGGAGGGTAAGGTATGAATAACTCAAGGTTCTTGATCTTACATCGTTCCTAATTCAATAGAGGAGACAGGCATTTGAATAATTTGCTGTACCAAAGGCTTTAAATATTATAATTGATGTATTGATTAATGAAGTGCAACAGAAGCCCAGTGAAAGGAGTGAGAACTTCAGTGAAAGAGGGTGATTTTATAGCAAGATGACTGTTGAGTTCATCTTTGAAGGATAAGTCGGATTTTCACGGAGAGAGGGGGCAGATACTGCCAGGCCCACAGTTCGAACAGAGGCACGAAGGCTTGCAGGTGCACGGCTCAGGCAGAGAGCGCAGAGGTATTGTACCTGTGTGGCTGGAGCCTGGCAGTCTTGGTGGGGCTAGGGCGGGAGGGGAGCCTGGCGGGGCTCAGATGAGGAAGACCGAGTGTTCTTTCTTTGGGAGAATGTGAAGTGACCAAAGTGTTTTTGAACATCACAATCTTTCAGAAAGAGGATGTGCCATCACTGTGGAGCCGAGGTGGCTGTGGTGATAGCCCAGGGGGAGAGAAGGGGAGCAGGCAGGAAAGAAAGGGGGCCACACTCGTAATCTGCCCCTGGAAGGTTGGCTGTGGCCTCCGGGGGCAGTTTTAGTGGAGTGGGGTGGGGGGAAAGGGAAGCCAGTTTGCACTGAGCAGCGGGGTGACTCAGAAGGGAACGGACAGAGACTTAGATGTCTGGTGACCACAGAGAAAACAGGAAAGAATAGCAGCTGTGAGAAACAGGGTCAAAGGCAGGCTTACCTGGATATCATGGGAAGGTACACATTTGTGGGCCGCAGGAATCCCCAGAGAAGGGTCAAGAGACCAATGGAACTGAGAGCACAAGGGCAGACTTTGGCATGGAAAATACCATTAGGTTGAAAAATCTGTACTCAGGAAGCTCATTCATTTTCATCCTTCTGTGCTTACAAAAATTGAGGAAGCACCGTGCCTGCATCGCAGGTTGGATATGCAATGATACTTGAAAGTATCTGAGGGAAGTCTGAGTCCAGCAGACGAGGCGGGCAGATGGGGACACAACAATCAGTGCACACAGTGCCCTGACGGAGACAGGTACACAGCCTGGCAGGAGCTCGGCAGGCGGTGTGGTGAGCGAGCACCGAGTCCAAGGACATTCACGTTCAAATATGTGAAAAACAGTTGTCTGGCCAAAGAAAAGGGCCTCCTTGGCATCCCATATGGCACAGTGCTCTGAGAAACTGTTCTCCTTCCCTTCTTCACAAGCCTCAGCTCTAGTGTCACTTCCCTTGGAATTTTCCCGAAGAAACTTATTCTACTTCATGCAGAAAGTGCCCCAGCCTCTCACAGCACTTATCTCTTCATTGTATTCATTTTAAAATTCCTTTTCCCCAATCAACTCCATGCTTCTTAAGGCCGGGGGCGGGGGGGGACTTTTATCTGAGTCTCTCCAGGACTCAGGGAAGAGTCAATAAATAGTTATATTATAGAAGAAACATAGCAAAGCAAAGAATTTTTTAAGTATATTGGTGTCTCTTCCCTTCCTTTGTTATAATGGCTCATTAATTTTAATTGAGATTATAACAAAATAATTCTCAGTTATGAAAGCAAGTTATGTAGACTGATTCTGTCCATGGCAAATTTTCAGTAGCTAACTACCTATGAAATCCACATCCTAATAAGCATAGTAGGCATGTAAAATGGAAAATCAAACTTGTACAGAGTTTAAGTTTAGATGTAGGTAATTGAGGTTCACACAAAGCAGAATATATCATGCTAAACTGTGACTCAAATGAAGAAAATACACTGTATTCCTTCCAGCGTCCCTCACTTTCTGAGGCCTGGTGAAGATCCTTGACATAGGCACTTCCTCTGTGGGGGCTTGGCCTGGGTCGGTCTTGCTGCCTTTTGTTTGCTGTGGATCCTCGAGAAGAATGGATGGGTCACACGTGAAATAGTGAAAGAGGCTCTTGTGCCTTCCCATGGAAGGTGCTGACTCCGTTTTGTTTAAAATACAAGCAATAGCAGTTATTTCACGTTCCCTTGCCCAGGCCGGGAATGGAGAGTTCCCAGGGGTGAGCTGGTAGGGCAATAAGAAGGGACAAGTCATGATGATGCAGAGACAATAGCCACCAACGGCCTCGCAGCACAGTACGCTAAGTGACATAATCACTGTGGAGAGATCAAATCGTATGTGTGTTTTTTAGCAAAATTGGAAAATAGGCACTTATAAATAATTTCATCCTGACGACCAAAAAAGCAATCATTCCGGGCTGTAAGATGGCGTGCTTCAGCCATCAGGAAATCATATGTATCTAAACATGAAATTGTCTGAGTTATTTCCGTGAGAAGAAAAGCTCAATGCTAGAACCCAAATCACAGAATGATGATGTAGAAAGCTCATTGGTTGATTTAGTCATCCTGCGGCACTCAGTGAACATCGCTCTGCACCTGCCGTGGCCCGAGAAGCCACAGGAATCAAGTGGAGGAAAGTCCCAGGGCAGTTTTGTAACTTTAACCTGTTAAAATATGAACCTGACTTTCCTGATGTGACTCTGTTTTGGAGTGTCGTTCCTTTATGACATATGAACAACTCTTAAAGACATTTTCTAAAGAATTTTAATTAAAGAAAAACAAAACTGTCATTCAAGTTTGTATGGAGAGCTTTGCGGCAACTGGTTAAGTCCTCCTTTTCCACTTTGGAGGCCAGAGCCGCTTAGGTAGGAAAAGTTTCCCTGGAAGATCTGTGTGTGTGGATGCTGGAGGGCTGGATTAGCCTCAGGGGCCATGGTGGCACCAGCATGTCACAAAGCAGAGAGTGGAGAAGTAGTCGGGAGCAAGCCAAACCTGTCCTATGGCAGGGTTAAGAAGAGTGTGTATTAGACTGAACACCGAAGTCATTGGCCAAGAGAATATGGACAAGGAACAGGAATGGAACGGGCAGAGTGGTTCAGGAGTTCATTACCAAACACTGGAGTTGGGGGAGGGGTGGGCTCCTACTGGTTTTAATGAGAACTACCTATAAACTTGGGAGAAAGGAAAAAGATTCCATAAGATCACCTGTTAAATTTTTTGTGTGTGTGTTTTGTTTTCACTTTTGTTCTTGGGTTTAGTATCTTAAATTTCTGGATCAGCTCTCACAGAAAATGAAATTGGACCAGATGGCTGCTGAACTTGGCTTTGACATGCGTCTGGATGTAGTTTTAGCTCGCACAGAGCAGCTGGTGCGCCTCGAGAGCAACGCCGTCATTGAAAACAAGACTATTGCCTACAATTTACAGAGAAAGGTAGGGGAGATGGAAACTTGCTACTGCTAAGAGAACACATTTTTGTGAAACTCCAATATTGAAATATAATTTACTACCATCATATTTACCAGTGTGGCTAGGAAACATCATTATAACAATACGTATATAGAATCTCTATTTCAAATCTAAAGTGATGGTAAGTGTATCACCTAAGGTTATTTTGGACTGTGAGTAATAAAGACTCAAAGTAACAGTGGCTTAAACAAGTAGAAGTGTTTTGTGTTTTTTTCTCTCACAAAAATTCCTGGAGGTAGGCAGCTTAGGCCTAGTGTGACAGCGCCACTCTGTAAAGTTTTGGAGGAACCAGGCTCATTTGTGTTCCAGGAAGGAGGTTGGAGAAGAAAGGAATGCAGGAGAGGGGTGGAGAAGAGCAGGCATGAGCTATCTTTTAAAGGAGGTTCCCTAGAAATTGCTACATTAACTTATATTTGTATGCCATGGCCAGATTATGTTCTGATGGCTAAACCTAGCTGCAAGGGAAGCTTGAAACTGTAGCTTTACTCTGGCTAGCCATTTGCCTAACTAAAAATCTCACTGTTTCTATTACTGTAGAAGAGGAGAATTGGGGAACAGTTTGTCTATATAAGCTCTACTGGACTAGAAAGTCAAGAGAAAAGCTTACTTCACTCATTCAAAGGAAGAATTAGAAACTTTTAGACTAAATAAATGAATGGATGAAAAGTATAAAAATATAATTATTAGTTATATAATTATTGGCATTAGGGAGAGAAAAAGGAAAACACAGATGTATCCTTACAATAGTTCTTAGGAGAAAATTCTGTGGTAGAATTATAGTGTGCAGGCTATGTGATGAGTCACATCTGGGCTCTGCCAACCTTTGTGACCTTGGGCAAATTGCATACCTCTCTGTCTCTCTCCTCATATTGAATTTGGCGATGATTCCTACTTCATGAGGTTATTTTTAATAAATAACATTTTGAACTCATGGATCCTAGAAGGTACTTATTGGACCTCCTCTCCATTTACTCTGTCTTGAGAATATTTCATAAAAGAAAGCAGACAACTTCTGCCGCCATCTGAGACATTACATGGAGCTACTCCTGTTTGAAGTTCTCCTCAGATAATTGAATTTTATCAATAATATCATTTCTTCTTAAGTATTGTATTATTATTAAAATTACCAGTATATAGAACTTACCAGAATAAATATACAGTAGGGTGGAATTTGACATGAAGGAGCTCGAGGAAGGGAGGCTAGTTAGAGAATTTTTTAAAGAGCCATGTGGCAAATGGATCTGGCCACAGACATTACTGTCACCATTAGGCAAAATACTGAAGCCCACAATTCAGTAAGTCCTTCACACCTCTGGACACTTTACAAATGCAGAGTCTGTAACTAGGGAAAATGTGATGGTCTTCATCTCTAGCATTCTATAATGCTCCACGATTCTGGTTCCTAATGTTTGTTACAGATGAGAGAGGTTTCTGTACTTAATATTCCATTCAACTGTGGCATATGAAGCCCATGAGGATTTTTCCCCCTCTTCTTAGAGTCCACGGTCTTTTCCTAAAAACCACTATAATTTCCTTCATCAAGTTTAATTGTCAGTGATCAGTAGTGTTTCAAGACCTTGTTCTCTGCTTGGTTCGTGGATGGTATAGGCCAGTCATGTAATAAAGACACCAAGGCACTCAAGCTGTCTCCACGTCCCTTCTAGTTCTAAGATTTTAAATATTTAAATAAAGCTTAAAAAAATTTCCTTGATATAGCAATATATGAATTTTAAAATAAGCTATACTACTCACTGGTTCTAAGGGATTGAAAGTAGTCAGTCTAGGTTTTTGGTAGTAATTTGTACCCTGCTGTCTTTCAGAAAAGACCAGAGCAAATATAATTGTCATGGGGTGTTGGAGAGGCTTTTGTTCTCTCTGTTTTGCTATATTCTGCTCTGGATAAGCCCGCTTTAGTTGTTTTAAAAGCAATTTACATTTTTATTAGAGGTACATCATGTTGGAGGGAATTAGGTGTTGTGAGCATAGTTCCTTGTGCGTTTGCTGTGGCTCTTGTGTCTCATAGTTTGCAGCTACAAAATTAACTCTTGGAAAGACAGAAATAAAAATGCAATCAGGCCCTGGCCATGTGTGACTCAGCTGGTTGGGCATCACCCTGCAAACTGAAAGGCTGAAGGTTCAATTCTTGGTCAGGGCACATGCCTAGGTTGTGGGTTTGGTTCTGGTTGGTTTGTGTAGCAGAGGCAACTCATCAATATCTCTCTCACATTGATGTTTCCCTCTCTCTTTCTTCCTCCTGTCCCCTCTAAAATCAGTAAGTAAGCAGGTCTTCAGGTGAGGATTAAAAAAATGCAATCAGGAAAAGGAATCCAGTACCTTTTTTTTTTTTTTTTATGATTTAGACATTAGGCTTATTGAAGTATAGATGAAGATCAATGTTGTCTGAGTAATTCATTTATTTTTACTGACTGTTCAATCTTTTTAAAAAATTTATTGATTTTAGAGGGAGGAAAGGGGAGAGAAACATTGGTTTTTGTTGTTCCATTTATTTATGCATTTGTTGGTTGATTCTTGTATGTGCCCTGACCAGGGATCAAACCTACATCCTTGGTGTATCAGGATGATGCTCTTACCAACTGAGGACCCTGGCCAGGGCTGCTCAATTCTTGTTATTAAAAAGAAATCCCTGTTTGTGTGAAACCAGCTCAAGACTCAGAAAGAAAGACTGGAGAGCAATGAACTGCACCTGAACCTCCTCAGGCAGAAGATTGTCCAGCTGGAAGAGGAGAAGCGGGTGCGGATGGCCCTGGCTGTGGAGAGGGACGAGGCCAACGCCACTGTCCAGAGGTTGCAGAAGAAGGTGGAGAGGCTGCAGAAGGAGCTGAGCGTGTGTCGAGAATCGAACACTGAGCTCAAAGCCAAACTGGCTGACACGAATGAGCTGAAGGCAAGTGCTCGGCTTCCTTTCCTTGCTGCTTTCTGCTAGTCACCCTAAAAGCTTATGTGACAGCCTTCCCATGGACATGCCAGAAAAAAAAAAGATGAAAACTTCTTCTGATTTACCACAGTTGTGGGAAAAATGCAAAAGTTACCCCAATCAGCGTATTAGATCCATTTAATGTTTCTTTACTATTGGAAATGAAGTTGTTGTTGCTGGGTGAAAGGTCACCCAAAAAGGGTGCTGTTAATGCTGGAAATAAAAACACTTCGTGAAAGTGTGGGCGATGACAATATGACGGATCACGTAGGGATTCCTCAGGCAGGAATTTGCTTGGGAAGAACTGAGACATGAACACGCAGCTCCGGAGAAGGGTCCAGCAGGCACTGGCGTGGGATGAGCTGAGTCACATGGAGCAGTGACGGGGGCGGGTGGACGGGGGCGACGTGCCCCCTGGATTTGAGGTGTCCAGCTTCCAACAAGGAGAAGAAAGGAATGAAAACTTAAAAGAAGTTAGTCAAAATATTTAGACGGCATTAATGGGTAACTTCGCATGCACGTATCGTATTTTAAATGTTAGTGGTTGCAGGTTGCCGATACGGAGGGCAGTGTTCTCCTGGCTCCTTGCAGACAGGTGCTCTGAAGTGGACTTTGGGAATGTTTCCAGGTCTGGAAACAAACTGGCAGGGAAGAGGAATCTAGAAGTAGGTCATCCCTGGAATATGTGTGGTGGGGGCCATATTTTAGAAGGTATTTCCCACTGTGTAAATTAGCTTTCTGCCCTCCCCTCCCTGGCCCGTCCTGCACCGAAGCCATTCCAAGCTGAGGCTTGGAATCTCCCTGGAGGGCAGATGTCATGGCCCAGGAGAGGGGAAGCATTTGAACACAAGGGAAGGGGGAACAAGGGAAAGCGTCTGAAGGTGCATGATGGGTGGGGAGAACATGCTAAGTGAGCATCAACACGCTTCTCAAGCGTTGGGACTCACCGTGGGGGCGTTCGTGCACTGGGGTGGGGACCGAGTCCTCGAGGTCCGCACATGGCTCCTCCCACCCTGGTGGGAGGGCCTGATGAAGGTGCTGAGGCGGAGGCCTAGGCTGCACCCTGATTCCTTGGGGCCTGAGGTTCCATTTGCACTCGAGGTGGACGGGGCAGCTAGGGGAAGATGCAGGCGGGAGGGCTCGCTGTGGGAGCAGGTGGCCGTGGGACAACGTGAGCTGCATCAGAGGTGCTGGGCAGAGCACCTGGGCTGCGATCCAATGGCAGTTACAGTCAAGCCTTGAATTAGCAAAGGCCAGTGCCCAGGCCTTGACCTTGCTCAATGAACCCTCACAGATTCCACCAGTCAGCTAGCAGATACAGTGCAGATTCAGGGTCAGCGCGAGGGCCGGGATCATCTCTCCAAACACCATATGGATTTTCCTTCAGCCAGACACTATCCCAGGAAGAGGAAAGGGAGAGAGGAGTCCTTGGAAGATTGAGCAATGTATGAAAGAACAAATATTAAACCAGAGGGAATACGGTTAGTTAAAATACAGCATCAGCTCTCATAGCTGGGATGATGGTGGCAGAGGTTGGTCTCTTATTTCCAAAAGAGAGCACAGCTTATCCTGCAGTTATCGTGCTGGCGCTTTGCTTTGGCCCTTCCTGACCTGTAGGGTGCGAGGCTTTTTTCATCTCCAGGCTGGATGCAAGCAGGCCCTGCTTTGTTAGAGAGAATAAAGGGCCCCTAAATCCTTCCAAGGGAACCAGAAAGCAAGCTAAAGAAATGGAGACCAGTGGTAAGATAGCTAGGAGTGGGGGAAGGTTCTGGAACAAAAACAGAAAAGGAACTTCGTTGTAGCCCAAGTGTGATATAGACCTTTGAAAATTAATCATAGGTTTGTCTTCTATTCTGTTCAGTTTTCCTCTTCTCTTTATTATTTGCTTTTTCTCCTGTTTCATTTTGGTTTATTTTGCTATTTCTTTTCTATCCTCCCAACATGCACATCGGCTCATTAATTTTTAGTCTTCCTCCTTTTCTAATACACAAATTTATGGTTGTGAATTTTCCTTTAGGTATTATTTTAGCTACATCACCAAAGCTTTAATACATAATAGCGTGATTGTCATTCAATTGAAAATATTTTTATTTATTTATTTTTTTGTTCAAATACATTTGTCTCTGCCTTCCCAACACCACTTTCCCCTGCCCCTCTCCCCCACCTCCCTCCCTCTTGATCGAAAATGTTTTCTAATTTTCTTTGTGGTTTTTTCTTTGATACATAGGTTATTTAGAAATACATTTCTAAATTTCCAAATAGTTGGAGATTTTGTAATTGTTGGAGTAATCTGAAGTTTAGGATGATGTTACTTCCAGGATGATGTTTTCATTTTCTTCTTCTAGATTCCAGGTGGCATTTTAACCTCATAACTCAGGACCACCTTAACCCACGTTTAGGCCTTGAGCTATTTTGAATATATTCTGTTGCCAAAATAAAGTTACACAGAAGAGTGAGAGTCTCTCCCCCACCCCCACCCACTTCCCTTACTCTTAAGATGCAGCCTTTCAGGTACTCAGTCCAAAGCAGGAATGATTTATCAAGGGTCCTACCAGAGGCAGGAACCAGGCTCTGATTCTGTCCCATCTCTGAAAGGTTGAGAAAGTGCACCTGAGCCCCTCAGCTGCCCCTGCCCAATTACCAAGTGTTGCCACAGAACAAAAGACCCCAAAACTTTGTGTACTTCTGAGTGTCTAGCCTCTCCGGAGGTTGGCCTAGTAGTTTTTGATGTTTTCTCAGCTCTTTAAATTAAAAAGAATTTTTTTTCTTGTTCCCTCTTAAATTGTATTCTGTGGGAGAGTGAGTCTGAACTATCCGGTCTCCCTCTCCAAGGCAGAGGAAGACATTATAGGCATTGATTTGATGGGGAAATGTAAAAATACCCAGGTAGATATGTGAAAAACTACTCCATAGATAACAAAGAAGTGACAGAGGAAGAAGCTGCCAGAATGTTGGCTACCTCAGTTTTCTGGCGCAGCAGCGTCTGAATTTTTCTGAGTGTACACCCTACTTTCCAGAATACAGATCTGAGGAACAGGTATTTGACCAGTCAACCAGGTACATATCTGAAACAAACATTTAATCTTCAATAAAGTCCCTATTTTACTCCTTAAAATTCCTCTATTTGGGGAGGAAGGGAAGTTATAGTGCAGTATTGCTGCCTGGGGTTGGGTTAAAGATGAGAAAGGGTCCCATGATGGGTGTTAAATAATTACGTACCATTGTAGAAAGGCATGATAAATAAAGCGAACTTGGACTTTCAAACCAGGGAAGTAAATTTAGCATTTCAGAGGTCAAAGAAAAGGACATGTTTCACTGAAGAATGTGTCAATGGAATAGTCCAACTTCTCTAAAGAAATCGCTGGTGGAAAGGAAGGGTAAAATAGCACTGTGGACTTTCAGACACTGAGCTCTGTGGGACTCTACAAAGCAGAGGGCAAGAGGAGGATATTGAACATTTTGAGTGATTTCCCAGAAATAATTAAGTGGGAGTGATGTGGAGAAATGCATGTTGGCTTCCCAGAAGGAGCGGAATGAGGTCTTCCTAACTCGACCACCAGTGGGTTTCAGAAGAAAGAAATGGTAAGGATGGAAGGTGCAGTGTGAACTGCCTGACTCCCTGTCCCCAATCCCCTCCGCCATTCGGCTGGGGACATTTGGTTCTTACCAACACATTTGCCCTTTCTCATGTGATGACGACATTTCTATCCTCAGGAGAAATCAAGAAGCTTAACTTAGACAGCAAGAGTTTACTCACCCTTACTTGTTATTTGAATACTATCCCTGTTGAAAAATCTGGGTTACTTCTGTGACCAAGTGCCCATTCTCTACCACTGGGTTCCTGCTCTGGTCTTTCTACCATACCCTTCCCTTTGGAATCTCAGATTCCTGGGCTTTCCTTGACTCTAGGGGGCCTGCCTTGCTTTTGCCACTTTCTCTCCAAGGAACTGAAATTCCCTCTCTGAATGAAGCTGGTGAGGCCCCACGAAGGGCTGCCAGATCTCTGCGACCTTGACCTGCAAATTCCAGCCAGCTCTCGGCACGTTGCCAGGTATTATAAAGCTGAAATATAATCATATAGTGACTACATATACTGTAAAGCATGACATAAACATGAGCTGCCATTATTACTAATTTTGTTACTGCTAAGAGTGGTAGCTGAACCGGGGGGCTGGTAGAGCCTTCAGAATTGCCTCTCAGGAGCCTCTGTGGGATTGGCCCTCGGAAACGGGGCATGGCCGACCAAAGTCACAGTGGAGCAGGGACTTCCTGACCTGTGCCACGAGGATCAGTGTCCGGCACCCAGTGGATGAGAGTAGGCAGAGAGCCACCTGAGAAAGGGAGCGGCACTTGGGGAAGGGCGGGGTGAGTGCCGGGTGCAATGCAGGTCTGGCTCTGAGTGGGGGTCTTCCAGGCTACGTGTGTTGGGAGTAGCGTCGGACACCGGGGCCCAGGCAACCCCGTGCGCCAGAAACGTGTCAGGAGAGAGGGGCCCACACTTCTGAGGCCAGGGGCAGACGTCGGAAACACATCCTGTGTCCATGGAATGTGTCCTTGTTTGGTCTCGGTGACTTCGGCCTCAGGCCTGTGTCATTGTTTGCCTGGATGATTCTAACGATTTACAAGTGGTCTTTTCACTTAACCTTTTTGCAGGCAGGCCTAATTCTTACAGTTAAAGCTTGGCTTTTTGGGTGACATGATTATGTAACATGTGGTTCTAGCACTAGTGCCTGGTTGAAGAACTTCCAATTCCTGCATCAGCCGCGTAAGGCAACATTTTGTGGTGCGGGGCACGTACCTCTGGTGGCATACAGAATATTTCTAGGTGGAAGACAGTCCTGAAGTGAAAAATGAATTCCCTTTAGTTTTTTTTCACTTCTTTCACTATCAAGGAGAACAATCATAATTAGAAGTTATTATGTCTTTTTACCTCGAGGTCACTTGCTAGTCTGCATTTTAAACAAAGAATA